CTGGACCTGGTACAGCTGCAGCTCCGTGTAGCCGCCGGAAGGTCTCTCGGCGACCTGGGCATCCGACAGGACGTCGGCGACGCCGACGGAGCCGGCGACCACGACCACGCCGATTTCGCGGCGCGAACAGGCCCAGATCTCCGACGGTCCAACGATTTTTGAGGGGGGGGTTCTCTCGATCCCAGTTTTTTCTTAACTTCGTTTGCGGTCTCCAGGGCCAGGCTGTTCGGCCCCGCTGAAAGCAGCCCGGGACGCAAATCTGCCCCCCCTCCTCCTCCTCCCCGGCCGGGGAGGGAGTGGGGCCTGCAGCTCCGTGCCGCGGACCGAAGGGCGGATCGGAGGATGACATCCTGGCAGGGGACCCAGACCGCTGTGCACAGTTACGATGGGGGCCACGAGTGGGGGTCACGATGGGGGGGCAAACGACGGGGATCCACGATGGGGGGGGCATCGTGATGTGGATATGGATAGGGCTGGGGCTAGGGCCAAGACTCCCTCCCCGCCCGCAAGCTCTCTCGCTCACTCCCACCCGCCCTCCCAACACATACGCAGCACCCGAGCCTGGCCCGAGCCGCACCATATTCAGCAGTCGTCTTTGGTTGGGCAGCTACTCGGGGCGAATCCGCCGCCGCCGCCGCCGCCGCCGCCCGCCGCCGCCGCCGCCGCCGCCGCGCCGCCGCCGTCGCCGCCGCTGCCCACCGCCGCCGCCGCCACCGCGCCGCCCGCCGACGCCGCCGCCGCCGCCGCCACCGCCGCACCCGCCACCGCCGCACCCGCCGCAGCCGCTGCCCCCGCCGCAGCCGCCGCCGCCGCCGCCAAGTGTATTCTGTATTGTTTTTTGACAGGGATAGTGGGGGGAGGCCGCACCGGGTTCGCTGCGCATGCTCCGGATTTGGAGGCAGAGTGTGTTTTGTATTGTTTGTTAGAAGGGATGGTGGGGGGGCCGCATGGTTTCAGGTTGGCTCCCAGTCGCCTGGGGGGGAGGGGGTGTATATTAATAAGGAACAGTGATTTAGGATAGAGGGACTGGGATATAGGTATACCGGGATACAAGGATAACAGGTGTACAGGCATAGGGTTCGGGATGAGGCTGAATATAGGGGTAAGAATATCAAGAGATAGGAATGGGGATATGGATCGAGTTCTGGATAGTGGGTAACAACCCGAGACAGTGGGAGACATGAGGCGACAACGGGGGGCAATGGGAGACACTGGGAGAGAATGTCGCCTGGCCGACTGGGTCCGGTAGTTTTGTTTTAGTTTTTGAAGAACTTATGTGGACCATCACAGATAAGTTGTTTAAGGAATGTCTGCGAATGCTGGAAGGCAGGGGCCTTCTTTGAAGGGCCCTGGGCGCTTTTAATAGGGCTTCTTCGGAGGCGGGGGGAGTTCTGAGAAGCCGCTGCCTTCTTGGAGGCCCTCGCGGCTTCTAAGACTGCCGTCACCCTTGCGCCACCCCTTGGCGTGCACCGCCAAGACGACGACCATCGAAGAACAAGCAACGCCAATAACAGAACTTGTCGAAGCTCCGTGCGGATTCCTCGGGCCGGCGCTGTGCCCCTCCCCTTCCCTCCTTCACACGAGCGGCGCGTTCCGCGCGCCGGGGGAGTGGGGTCCAGCGCCGGCCCCAGATGCCGAGAGCGCGAAGTTGCTCGCGCGTCGCGCTTCGCGGTTCGGCTCCGATTCCTTCTCGTCCCCCTCCTGCTCCCCCGGGGGGCAGCGCGAGAGCGCGAAGTTCTTCGCGCATGGCGCTCCCCACGGCGCGAGAGCGCGAAGTGGGGCGCCCCTGGACGGCGGGCCGAGCCGCGGCGGATCTTGTGCCAGGACCGCGACGGCCCCCGACAGAGCCGAGGATATGTGATGTGTGCAGTGACTGCGTCTGTTGTCAAGCAGTGGCGAAGCGTCCTGGCGTGCCCAGAGGCCTACCAAGCAATGTTCTAAGAACCCTTTGTGGTTTCCACGAAATGTTCTTAGAACATTCCTGGCTGGGGCTGTCTTGTTTTAACACATCGGGCTTATGTTCTAAGAACCTTGTTTTTGTTCTTATAACATTCTCGGGTTCTAAGAACATGTTGTGGTAGGCCTATAGAAATGCCGGGGCGGTCGGTCCCTGCGCAATTTTGGTACCCCGGGGGCCCGTTCTCCAGGCCTTTGCGGCCACCGGAGCCGAGGAAACGTAAGTCGCAGGAGATTTTTCTCCCCCCATCCCCTCCGCTCGAAGAAGTTCGGCCGCCCCAGAAAAGGGGGGGACCCTGGGATGCACCCAAGGGGGCTATTCGGACGCACTCCTATCGAGGATGGACGCCCCTCCATCCCGTATCCCAGGATTCTTCGGGGAGGAGGGGGGAGGAGGAGGAGGAGGAGGAGGAGGAGGAGGAGGAGGAGGAGGAGGAGGAGGAGGAGGAGGAGGAGGAGGAGGAGGAGGAGCAGGAGGAGGAGGAGGCGGAGGAGGGAGGAGGAGGAGGAGGAGGAGAAGCAGGAGCAGGAGCAGGCGGAGGGAGGAGGAGGAGGCGGAGGAGGAGGAGGAGGAGGATGATGATGAGGAGGAGGCGGAGGAGGAGGAGAGCAGAGCAGGAGGAGGAGGAGGCGGAGGAGGAGGGGAAGGGGAGGAGGAGGAGAGGAGAGGAGGAGGAGAAGCAGGAGCAGGAGGAGGAGGAGGAGGAGGAGGAGGAGGAGGAGGAGGAGGAGGAGAAGCAGGAGAAGCAGGAGCAGGAGGAGGGGGCCACCAGAATCGGGGAATCGCCAGCGGCGGCGGCAGCCGCGGCGGCGGCGGCACCTCGGACTCTGCTCTGGGCCTGGCCGCTCCAGCCACGGCCTCGCAGCGGGTGCGGTGGAGGCGGCGTCGAAGTCCTCGCGGTCGTCGCCGCCCTTTTCTCGGGGAAGCGTGGAGCTCGAGTGCGCCAGGACTCGGGCTCGCCGAGGCTTTCTGGCGAGGGCGTCGTGGGTTTGGATGGCCCGGGTGTCGTGGGGTGTCTGCAGCGGGAGCTCGCGTCAAACTCGTCATGCGTGGGGCCAGTTCTCCGGGCCTTTGGGTCCGTGGCTCAAAAATGGGGTCCTGTGGTGAGGACGAGGTGCCTCAAGCAACGTAGATCCACCCTTGGATCCGCTCTTATCCTCGGGACCCCATCCCTGAGGACCCCATCCTCGAATCGTCGACATGAGGCCACCAGAAGTGGGCCCGGGGCGAGAAGCTGCCGCCGGGAAGGACCCCATCCCTAAGGACCCCGTCCTCGAATCAGGCCACCAGAAGTGGGCCCGGGGCGAGAAGCCGCCGCCGGGAAGGCTTCGGGGACCCTCCTGGGCCTGCGGGCGGAAGAAAAGCAGCACGCCGTCGGATGTCTGGGACCACCGCCTCGGCGACGGCCGCGCCGACCACGACGACGACGACGACGACGACGACGACGACGACGAATACCACGACGACGACGACGACGAATACCACGACGACGACGACGACGACGGCGACGACGCGCTGACCACTCGGCAGGAGCTGCTGCGGATCGACGGGGTCGCCATCCAGGTTCGCGGCGGCTGCTGCCTGCCCGTGCTGCCGCTGCCCGGTGCTGCCCTGCTGCCCTGCCGCCCCCTCCGGAGGGTCGGCGGGCGAGCGGCGACAGCCAGGCAGGCCTTCAAGAGGCACCAGGCCCAGACCTCCTCCTCCTCCTCCTGCTCCTCCTCATCCTCCTCCTCCTCCTTCCTCCTCTTCTCTGGTACCGCTTCTCTGTTGTTTTATGCATTTCGATTGATTTGTTGTGATGGCTGGCTTGCCAAAGGGTTGGCTTGGCTTCGCCTTCCTTGGAAGAACACAGAACCTTGGCCGACATGGTCAACGCGAAGCCGACTTTGACTATTTCTTGGCCTCTTCGGGTGCCAGTTCGATTTGTTGTCGCCCCCTGCCAAATCGCCGACTTTCACAGGCGCATTTGTTGCATAACTTTACCCCCCGAGCTCTCGGCCCCATCCCCCGGACTTTGGTGCTGCTTGTCAATGCCGACTGCTTCTGCTGGTGGTCCGTGGGTTGTGACGTGGCCAACAGATGTCGAAGGCATCGCTTAAGGTGCCTGCCGTGACGTCTCCCGTGCGCCTGGAGGTACAGAAGGTCCGCCGCCTCGAGCATAGTTTATATATATATAGAACAAATGCGATGTTTACACGATTAATTTACGAATGAAATTATGCATGAACTCATCGTTGTTTTTAATACTAAATCCCTGCATTTTGAATACGTGATCCGCACGCGGAGCATGTCTAAAAAACGGCGTTGTAGGGAGCGGCCCGAAAACCCGAGGCTGCGCTGTGGCCAGAATCTGGAGGCGGACCCAGCCATGGCCACGAGGGCGCCTGTCGCCGCCCACCAAACCCACCCCCGACCCAACCCGAAGGCCTCGATTTGCCCTCCACTTCCAGGGGGAGGAGGAGGAGGAGGAGGAGGAGGAGGAGGAGGAGGAGGAGGAGGAGGAGGAGGAGGAGGAGGAGGAGGAGGAGGAGGAGGAGTAGGAGGAGGAGGGGGGGGGGTCGGGAAGCATCGAACAAGAACATATGGAACCCGTACCCCCCTCCCCAGCCCGAAAGTCGGGTCAGATTCGGGTCTTCGGGTTGGGTTGGCGTGGTTTGGCAGGCAGCCAGCCTGCGGAGGTCCAGGCACGGCTCCGAAGACGTCTAGTGTTCTGAAGCCACCTTGGACCCCGACCGGTCCGTTCTTGGCCTTCCGATGTGCAACCTATGCGGTACATCATGTGTGCGTCTGTGTGTGTGGCGCAACACAAATGGTGCAGCCCATGCTTTCCAACCAACGTATTCAAACAAATGACCAACTTTAGAATATGGTGCTGTCTGAGTACGCGGAACAAGCTAAGCTCGTTGAATTAGTGTGTCATGCATACATATGCTTCTATATCAAGAAATACATGCACATGCATGTTGTGCAATCTCTGCGTGTTGCCATGTACAAGACCTGTTCGGCGCAGTCCACGCGGTGCAAGCGGTTAATGATGCGACCTATGTGGCCCAAGTGTATTGGGACATCTCGAAACCGTGAGCCAGTATACATTTGCTAATACATTTTGTGCTTTAGGTGCTCTCAGGCCGGCGCCGGCGTCGGCAGCGGCTGGCGGCGGAGGCGGGGGTGTTGGCGGTGGTGGTAGTAGCGGTGGTGGAGGTGGTGGTGAGGAGGTTTGTGGTGGTTGTGGTGGTGGTGGTGGTGGTGGTGGTGGGTTGTGCTGCTGGTAGTAGTGGTGGTGGTTGTGGCGGTGGTGGTGGTGGTTGTGGTGGTGGTGTGGTAGATTGTGGTGATCGTGGTGGTAGTGGTGGTGGGTTGTTGTATTGGTGGTGGTGGTGGTGAGCTGTTGTGGTGGTGGTGGTGGCTGTGGTGGTGGTGGTTGTGTGGTGGTTTGGTGGTGGTGGTGGGTTGAGGTCGTGATGGTGGTGGCGGTGGCGGTGGTGGTGGCGGTGGCGTGGTGGTTTGTGGTGGTGGTGGTGGTGGGCTGTGGTGTTGGTGGTGGTGGTGGTGGTGCTGCTGCTGCTGCTGCTGCTGGTAGTGGTGCTGGTGGTGGTGGTGGTGGTGCTTGTGGTGGTGTCGGTGGTGGTTTGTGGTGGTGGTGGTGTCGGTGGTTGGTTGTGGTGATGGTGTTGGTTGCGGTGGTGGTGGTGATGGTGGTGGTAATGGTGTCGTGGTTTGCGGTGGTGGTGGTGGTTGTGGTGGGTTGTGGTGGGTTGTGGTGGTGCTTGTGGTGGTGGCGTTTTTGGTGGTGGCTGTGGTTGTGGTGGTGAGGTGGTTTGTGGTGATGGTGGTGGTTGTGGTGATGGTGGGTTGTGGTGGTTGTGGTGGTGGTTGTGGTGGTGGCGGAGGTGGTGATGGTGGTGGTATGTTGGTCTGTGGTGGCGGTGGTGGTGGTGGTGGTGGTGGTGGTGTGGCCTTCGGCTCTTTCCGCCACTGTGTTTTGGAAAAGGGTCAGAGTTCTAATGGATGCCTCTTGAGGTCTCGTCAGAAGGGTCTCGGTGGCGTCTGAGGAGCATGCGAGGGCTCGATATGGCGATTTGTGTGTTCCCTCTGCGGCCTCTGGGCCCTCTCTGGTCATCGTCGCTGCGTCCCCGCCGTCGGCGCTGCTGGCCGCCGCCAGCGCCGGCGCCGGCGCTGGCGCGGGGGGGGGAGGGATTTCAACCCCCCTTTCCCCCCCTCCTCCTGGGCTCCCTCTGATCATCGTCGCTGCGTTGGCGCTATGGCGGCCGCCAGCGCGGGCGCCAGCGCCAATGGGGGGGGGGGGTTTGGACCCCCCCCCCTTGGGAAAGGGGGGAGGAGGGTCGGGAGGGGGGGGGCTAGGGGGGAGGGGAGTCCCCCTGGTTCTGATCGACGGCGCCGAGTGTTGGGGGGCATGGGGGCCACCCCCGGGTTCGAAACGCGACCCCGAGTGTAAGCGCCCGTGAAACGCACTCTCTCACATGTAGACATATGTACATGTGTATGTATCTGTGTATGCAAATGTGTTTGTGTTGCATACGTGCGTCTTTATATTTATAATATATATATATATATATATATATATTATAAATCGTGCCATCGATATGGTGTAATTTCCCTGGTGCCGTATACACGGTGCAAACGATGTGGTGCAGTATGTGTGGTGCAATTTGTGTGACGCAAACGATTGGTGCAACCTCTTCTCATGCTGCAATGTATCCGGCGCGCGAGGCTGCCACGAGGCGGTTAGGGGCTGTGGCCAGCCGAAAACTTCGACCTGCCGACAGTCCCGAAACTCCAGCCAGGTCCTCTTGGCAGCCAACTCGGAGACCCGCGACGCAAGCCTTACGCTTGGGGAAAAAGCTTCGGACATCCTCGAACCTCGATCCTCGGAGGCTTCAGGAGGTTCTCGGACGGCCCCGTCGGTCCCTGGGTCTCCGCGGAGGCCTCGGGAGGTCCACGGAGGCTTCTTCAGCTCTCCGGAGAGAGGCCTCTTCTAGGAGCCGGCGCAGTGGCACAGCTTTTGTTTCGAACACCCCGACCCTCGATCCCCGACGTCAGGCAGGGCCGCGCCGCGCTCACTCGGCGCCCAGCATCTCTTTCTGAGTCGTCTTTGGCAGCCCTGGGGCCCTGAAAAGACCGCCAGAAGGGGGCTTGATGTTGCTGGAGCGGTCCACGCCGACGCGGCCGGAACCACCTGCAGACAGTGCCTATATGCCACCACCCCTACCGTGGTTGGCAAAGGCCATCCTGCGCCCCAGGATGGTGTAGAAACCCTCCTGGCTTCGGCCAGGATGGCGTAATACACCAAGCAAGGGCCCAGGATGAACCTGGCCAGCCGTCGCGGTGGTGTACGTGTCGTGTCATCTCGACGCGGCGGCGGCCCCAGCGCGGGAGCTCGAGGCGGAACGCCGCTGGTGGCTCGGGATCGGCCGATGTCGACCCTGACGTGCGTTGTCCTGATTCATTGGCTTACGCCGCGCCGACCCCTTGGGGCGGCAGCGAGAGTGAAAGACGGAGTTCGCGGAACGCGCGCGATCGCTGGGCAATCTTGGGGTTTCGGCCTGTTCTACGTAGCGTGTGGGGTTCAAGGGGGGGCCTTGTAGGGGACTGTTTTCAGCACGCCGGCCCCAGAAGTTCCCGACCCTCTCCCCAGGGCCGCTTTTCACCCCCCGGGCCGTTGTTGGCGATCCTGGGCCCCAGAGGCCGAACCTTGCGAGAAACCCCTCCATCCGGATTCGTCCAGGACTTTGTATGCCTGGGGAGAAGCCCCCCACGATCGGAAAGCCGCGATCTCTGCGGGCTGAGCCATCCTCGAGGCCTCCCAGGTGGGGTCGGAGTAGGTGGTGTCGAAGGACCGCGCCGCATCGCCGATTCGTCGCCGATGCGGCTCGAGCCCGATCTGCTTCACGTCGACGTCGCCGATGCATGGTCGACGTCGACGATGCATCGCCGATGCATCGCCGATGCACCGTCGATGCATCGGCGACGCGGCGCGATCCTCCGACCCCGCCTTCTCCGACCCCATCGGGAAGGCCTCCAGATCCACGCGGTGCCAGCGGCCAGCGGGCCGGCCGGCACGACGCGAGCCTGCCGTGGGCGCGCCCCTCTGCGCTGGGAGGGCCGGCCGAGGCCCTCGGGGGGAAAGGGGCGCCGCGCCGGCACGTGCCCAGTCGTCGGGCACCGAGGGGGTGCCCGCCTGGACACGAGGGCGCCCTCGAGGGCGCGAAGTTTTTCGCGCTTCGCGCTCTGCGGTTGGGCTCCGATTCCTCCTCATCCTGCTCTTCTCCCCTGGGGGGCGGCGCGAGAGCGCGAATTTATTCGCGCTTCGCGCAGCGGGAGGAGCGAAGTGGGGCGCCCTTGCTGCATGGTTCGCTCGGTATTGGCATTCGAGTGTGCCAGTGCAGTCCCGAGTCGGTTTCGCTCATCGGCGTGTCGCCGACGCATTGGCGATGCATCGGCGATGCGGCTCGATGTGGAGCCCTATTCTCTTCGCGCCGAGGAGGAGGAGAGAGGAGGGGGACGCCGCCGATGCAGGATGAGCAGGGAGAGGAGGAGCAGGTGGACGTCTCCGATGGAGAGCCGACGTTGCCGATGCATCGGCGATGCTGCGCGGTCCTCCGACCCTATTTCTGCTTCGACCCCAGCTGGGCGGCCTCCACCGCGTCCCCCCCGCCCCCCGGGGGCAGTGCTTCGTCGTCGGCAGGGCTTTGATGCCCTGGGACCTGGAGCCAGAGAATGGGTTTCAGTCGAAGAAGAAAATCGGCGGCCAGCCCGAGGGGGGGAAGTTAGAGGGGGCGGGCCTCCTCGGAAGGCTCGGAGGTCCCCCGGTCTTTTTAGAAGTCTTCCAAGCCTTCCCCAGAGGCACAGAGCACTTCTCAGAAGGCTGTAGCGCTTCTGAGAAGCCCCGCTGCCTTCTGCGAAGGCCTTCTCCTTCTCACTTCCCCCTCCTCGCTCGCAACCGAGACAAGCAACTGCAGGAAACATGAGCGTTCGGGGGTCTGCGCGGTGTTTCTGGATCTGCGCTGGGCCCCCTGGCGGTGCCCCCAGCGCCGCCAGGGAGGGGAAGCCAGCGCCGATCCAAGAGATCTGTGCGGAACCTCGATCCGCCCGAACAGTTGATCTACCATACCCAAAAACCCTGGGAGGCGGGCAAGGGTCCTGGTCGTGGGTGTTGCATACTAGATAGATGATCTTCTTGGGGCGTGGCTTTTGCATGCGAGAAGACGTGGCCCTGGGCGGTGGACTCGGACTCGCGGACTGGGGCGGGGAGGGTGCGGTATACAACCGGAATCTTGAGGACTGCACCTCGCAGGCCAGAGATGAGGAAGCAGCGCCAGTACGGAAAGCAGTCACATCTTCGGACGTTGGGGCTCCTGCGCGTTGAGTGGTCGACTGATGGCCCCTTGGTCGACACAGCCGTCCAGCTTTCGCGCCAGACGGCCGCTGGACACCGGAGGAGATTGCCGAAGAGCGCCGTAGACGGCCAGAAGACCGCCAGACGAGCGCCGAAGGCCGCCAGAGGACACGAGACCGCCCGGAGACCGCCCGAGGCCGATGGCTACCCCAGGTCGCCCGCGGGGGCGCGAAGGTAGTCGCGCTTCGCTCGTCGCGACCCGGGCCGCCGAGGTGCTCTGTCTGTCTGTCTCTCTCTCTCTTTCTCTCTCTTTTTTCCCTCTCTCTCAAAAGATTGGCGCGAGGGCGCGAGGGGCGCGAAGATGACCGCGCGTCGCGCGGGGCCATCCTGGGGCGGAGGGGTCGGGAGGCGTGTCCGGGTGGCCTTCTGGGCGCCCTCTTGGGGCCGTGTTGGGGCTGTCTTGGGCGGCCTAGGAGACTTGTTGGCTGGTCTTGGCGCCCTCGTGGGCCGTCTTGGCGCCCCTTTCGGGGGCCTCTTGGGCCGTCTTGAGGCGATCGGGGTGAGGTGACCCAGGTGACGCCGAGCAGCAGGCCCCCTCGCGGCCTGAAAACTCAAGGCTCCTTAGCCTCGAGCCGCTCGAGCACCTCGCCCTTGTAGTACAGAAGCCCGCTAGAAGAGCGCCAGACGAGCGTCAGAAGATCGCCCGAGGCCCATGGGGAAACAAGTGGCGAGTTCTGGAAGCCCAAACCCAAAATATGTTGCACCTCGATCAGTCGGGGGGCGATGATTGGGGGGGCAGCGGGGGTTGCCGAAAAGAGGCCCTTCAGGGCCGCTAACGAGGCCCCTTCGGGCCCAGAAGGGGGCCTTCAGGGCCCGAAATGGGTACCTTCCTCTCCCCCCCCATTTGTCGCCCCCTGTAAGTTCGCGCCCAAGCCCTCTCTTCGCTGCGCATCTTTTACTTCCGCCGGCCTCTGCCAGCCTTCTGGCGGTCTCCGCCTGCGGGGGTATAGCCTCGCCTTACTTCCGCCGCCCTTCCGCCGCGCTGCGCAGAGGAAGAGATGGCAACTCCTTGAACACGAGGCCTTTTCAGGACGCCTTGAACACGAGGCCTCCTTGAGCACGAGGCCTCCTTGAACACGAGGCCTCCTTGAACACGAGGCCTCCTGGAAGAGATGGCTTCGCAGGACGCCTTTGAAGACGAGGCTTTTTCTGGATCGCCGCGCGTGGGCCCACGGTCGAACACGGCGTGACTCAGGTGCGGGTGGGCTTGCTGCCAGGCGGCGGCGGCCGGGTGGCCGAGTACCGCGAGCCCGGAGGCGTGCGCGTCGACAGCTCGGTGGCCTCCGGCACGGAGGCGGGGCCCATTCCGATCCGATCGTTCTCTGGGGGCCCTCCACACGCAGGCACGCAACGTCCTGGACAAGATCAGGGCGGAGGTCTTGCTGACTTTTGGGCTTCTGGGGTCCAGGTCCTTGGGCCTAAAAAATGGATTGGGGTGAAAAAGCGGCCCTGGGGAAAGGGTCGGGACTTCGGGGACCGCGTCTGGAACTACTCAGGACATCGCATGTCTGGGAACGGTATGTTTGTTGGGGGGACTTGGGTCGTTCTCCAAGGATGTCTCGGGCAGCTGGGGCATCCAAGGTCCCCAAACCTTCCGGTGACCGACTGTGCGGTGTGGCCTATTTAGGATTTCGAGGTCACCGCACGCTCCGTCGTGGGGCCCCGAAGATCCGGTTCGATATCTGCAGTTTTCGAAACTGCCCATTGGTTCTTTGAGGGTTCTTCGCCTCGGGATGCTTTCCGGCAGCTGCGCCCCTCCAAGACCGTCGCAGCGGTGCCAGACTCGTGCAGAATTGCCGCCAGAGGCCAGAGTTATGGCCTGAAATCCGCTGGTGGGGGGAGGCAGCGTTTAGTTCGATCCGATTGATCCGATTCGGTATCGGTCCTGGCCCGACCGATCCGACTCGATTCCGATGTTCCGTCGATGAGGCGCGGCACGATACCTGCATGGGCGTTGCTGTGCGTTCTGGTGCGGCCGAGTCGACCTGATTCCGACTCCGTCTCGATGTAGCCCGATCCGACACACGTTCAGATCCGATCGAGATTTCGCGATGCGATATTGGCTGCTCCTGCGGAGGCGGTCACGGCGTACGACCCGATGATCGCCAAGCTCATCGTGCGCGGGGCCGACCACGCGGAGGCCCGTCTACGACGAAAACAGACTACGCACACACAACAAATGGTCGGTGGTCCGCGCGGATTTCTTGGATCGGCGCCGGACCCCCCAGTGGCTCCTAGGGCGCCGCCCCTGGCGCGCTTCGCGCCAGGGTAGAGGGTCCAGCGCCGATGCAAGAAATGCGCGTGGACCCTTCTGTCTATGCACGTGTGTTCTTCGCTTCTGTCGCGGGCAGGTTGGAACCCAAGAACTCTCAATCTGTGATTGTGCATTTTTTGTTTGCCTGGCTCCAGAGCTCAGAGCGTGTCGAAAGACTTCTGCATTCGAGCCTCGGCGGCTGCGAGACGCGCAACAATACCTATACGACCACCCTTCGTATGATAAGGAGGTTGGTGGGGGGGAGAGGGGAGAAAGATCCAATTGACGACAATTGTGATGGCGTCGATGATGACGATGCTGGTGATGCGCCCTCGAGTTGGCGACGGCGCGTGGTGACGATGCTGCGTCGCGATGTGGTTCCACTATCGATCCCACTCGATCGACTTCACTATCGAAACACCACCAGGGCACCATGATGGTTGGGGCTAGGTGTGATGGCTGGCTGTTGATGGCAAGGTGATGGCCACAGTGGTGATAAGCGTTGCGGCGACAACAACGGCGGTAGTGCTGAGTACGATCGGAACACCACCGGAACACGATCGGGCCAAATACAAGCCACCACCACTGCGCTGCGATGGCAATAAGACGATGCGGCGTCGCAATGCGATCTCGGGATGCCAACGGGACTCCACGGGACACCCGCGAGACACCACGGGACACCGACGGGACTCCGACTGGACACCGACGGGACACCGGCGGGACACCCGCGTGACACCGACAGGACACTGACGGGATACCATGGGACATTATCGGCACACCATCGGGACACCAATCGATCTCACTTTCGATCTCCACTATCAGACTCACTATCGATCTCATCATCGATCTCACCAGGGGACACCGCAGGACACCGACGGGACGCCGACGGGACACCCGCGGGACACCAGCGGGACACCGACGAGACACCACGGGACACCATTGGGACACCATCGGGGCACCAATCGATCTTTTGTTCGATCTCCCTATCGATCTCACCACCGGTCTTACTATCGATCTCACTTGCTCGATCTCACTATCGATCTCACTATCGGCCTCACCATCGATCTCAATGTAGGTCTCACCACGCGATGCTCACGGGACACCGACGGGACACCGACGGGACACCAACGGAACACCGACGGGACACCGACGGGATAGCGACGGGACAGCGACGGGACAGCCACAGAACACCAACGGGACACCGACGGGACACCGACGGGACAGCGACGGGATACCATGGCGGGACAACCCGCCAGGATGGGCGGTCAACGGCTCTTGACTCGCCCACATTCCTCTCGCCCACAGCTTCCTCTCGCCCGCACGCACGACACGAACCCGAAAGCGACACCGATTTCCAGGTCGAGGGCTCTCCGTTCCACTTCGATCTCAACTCCCCAACCTCCGATGAATGCATGCTTGCGTCCGCACCTGTCTACAGTAAGTCCTGCGACTACATTTGCAAGCATGCGCTGTACGACGTGGCAGCGATGCTGGCCTCAATCGTATCCACAGCCTGGCGGCCCGCACTCCTTGGCCGCGGCCTCGCGGATGCAGGGCGGCCTGGCGCGGGGAAAGCCCGCGCGGGACGTGCCCGTGGGATCGCGTGCCCGTGGGATCGTGGCCCGAAGCTCACCCCACGAGGGCACGGACACGGATATGTTTCGGCGGTTCCTCAGAGGCGCTGGGCCGCGCCCGCAAGGCCGTCGAGGACTTTGTGGTCGACGGCCTCAAGGCGGGGCCCTTCTCGATCTGACTTCGATATCGATTGCGCCCAGCCCGGTCCGATTCAGATCCCGATGCTCTTGCGATCCAATGCATGCAGCCCGATGCTTGCATTGCGCTGCTATGCATCCTGGCGCGGCCATTGCCATTCGTTCCCACTCCTTGTCCGATGCGGCTCGACTCGATGCCTGTTCCGATTCGATTTTGTTTCCAGATTCGATGCGCATTGATTGTGCAAGGTGAACAAAGAGTTCCTGGACCGGGTCCTTGCGCACCCAGACGTTGGACGTGGTGGGGTGCACACCACGTGGGTCGAGCTGCGTGGAATCTGCGGGGGGCCTTACAGTCAATTCGCTGAAGTAAGGCATAGTCCGGGCTCGGAAGGCGTTCGCTGTTCTTCAGGTCCTGCCATGGCTGTTCCTCCAGCGCCCCTCAAGGACCGAGGCGCTCCTGGTGCACAAACGCGGCTTCGTTCCATATTGATTCAGCCTTCCGTTTCGTAGCAGCCTGACTTTATTTCGATGATGTTGCTTGCAGCGCGACTGATCTGCACACATGCCTAGGCAGGACTTGCACAGTCTACATTAGACATTCGGCTGTCGCCGTGTGTCAGTGGAGCTCTAAGCTCCCGGGTCGCGTTGAAGGGGCCCTCTGCGGCCTCCTGTGCCTCTTCGGCGCTCAGAGGAGCGGCCCTAGAGCGGCCTCGCGTCGCCGTGTGTCAGTGGAGCTCTAAGTTCCCGGGTCGCGTTTAAGGGGCCCTCTGCGGCCTCCTCTGCCTCTTCGTCGGGCGACGAAATCTATACATATCCACTGCTCCCTGACCATGCCCATCTTGAACCCAGGAGCTGTGTATGCGCCCTCCTGGCCAAGCCAGGAGTGCGTGGCGTATACACCGCTGCGGGGTTGAGGATGGGCCTGGCCTGGGAGCAGTGGATATGTATAGATTTCGTCGCCCTATCTTCGGCGCTCGGAGGAGCGGCCTCGGATGGCCTCCCTGATGGGCCACGGCAGGGCCCCAGCGCGGTCTCGGCCAGCCTCGGAGTGGCAGCGGGTCGCCCTGTTCTTGGAGGGTTCCTCCGAAGGGCTTAGGCGACCCGTCATCCTCGGTTTATACTCCTTCCTCTACTCCTCGTTTTTCCTTCCTCCTCCCTTCTCCTCTCTTCCTCCTTCCTCCTCCTCTCCCCCTGGCCCTCCTCCTCTTCTTCCCTCCTCCCTCTCCTCCTTGCTCTGCTCCTCCTCTCTCCTGTCATGCTTGCTCCTCCTCCTCCTCCTCCTCCTCCTCTCCCTCCTTCCACTCTTCCCTCCTCTCCTCCTCCTCCTGCTCCTCCTCCTCCTCTCCCATCCTCCTCCTCCTCCTCATCTCCTCCTCCCCTCCCCCTATCCCCTCCCTCCCCCTCCTCCACCTCCTCCTCCTCCTCCTCCTCCTCCTCCTCCTCCTCGGCTCGCTTACTGCACCGGGGGAAACCGTGCACCTGTTATGGCTCCGAGCTACCCCCCATGCTGCGCGGATGGCTGGGCCAGGCGAAGCAGGGAGGCCAGGCCCCCTCGCGTCGTGCAGAGACGACGACGACAAGCTTCGATCCTTTTGCGGCCTTCGGAGGCCCTCGCCGGGCCCCTGGGACCGTGACAGAAACGGCTCGTGCTAAGAAATGGTTCCTCCTGGGGGCCCACGCCGTGACCACCACCACGGAGCCAAGCATCCGGAAGGACGCGCGGGCGGAAGAGCGCGCGATTGGCAATTCATCGGGAAGGAAGAAGAAAGGAGAGGAACAGGGGGCGCATCACGACTGAAGCAGAAAATGGAGACAGGAGGACGAAGGAGAGGAGGAGGAGGAGCAGGAGGAGGAGGAGGAAAAGGTGATACTGATTTTGAATGCAAGATGAGCTCGTACACCGAGGTAGCCCAAAACACAAACGTCGGGGGTCTGGCAAGGCCCCCCGCGGATTCGACACAAGGTTGAGGACCTCAAGCTCCACCTGTCGGCTCCCAAGGCCTCCAGCGCAGGCGGCGGCGCGGGCACGGTCTTCTCGCTGGAGGCGCCCTTCTCGGGCCAGGTAACCGAGATCAAGGTGCGCGCGGGTGACGTGCTGGCCGCTGGCGACGTCGTGGTCGTGCTGTCCGCGATGAAGATGCTGAACGACATCGTGGCGGACAGGCCCGCCAAGGTCCGTCTGGCGCTCGTCGGAAGCATGAGCGCTGACACGAGCAGAGCGATGCGGGGGTCCGCGCGGATTTCTCGCGTCGGCGCTGGGCCCCCTCTCCCTGGCGCGCGGAGCGCGCCAGGGGCGGCGCTGGAGGCGAGGCCAGGGGGGTCCCAGCGCCGAGCCGCGGCGTCTGCGCGGACCTCAGAGAGTTTTCAAGTTTCTGTCGTTGCTGAACCTCCTGAGCCAGGCCCGCCAAGCGGGGGTGGACCCAGAAGGTGTTTTGGCGATCTCCTGGGCCGCTTCCTTTCGATCTCGTTTTGCAGCAAAGGCTGATGGAAGACAAAGCGAGGGAGAACGAAACCACAGCGAAAACGAAACACACTGCGCATGTCGATCCCTGGGCCAGGCCGGCCGAGGTCTGTCGGGCGTTAGGGGCTCAGATCTCCGGCGTTGAGGACTTTGATTCGGTCGAACCGAGGTATAAGATCGAGGTCGGTTCGGGGAGGGTGCCTTAATGTTCTTCGTGATTGATGAGTGTTTTTTATCAGTGTGCATCTTGGGGGAGGGTACCCTCGAATGATCTTAGGGTTTGGGGTGCTTTGGCCGGCGGAGGGTCTCATGTTCTTGAAGGGTGTTTTTTCTGGCCCAGGTCCGACTGTAACGTTCTAGGCGCCTTTCGTCGGTCTCGGCCTCAGGGGTCCGTTTTGTCGGGCCCCGGGGACCACAAGGGAGCGGATCTGGAGCGCCAGATTGTGCCCGTGGAAGGGGGTCGCGGCAGCCCCTTGGGACCGTGGACTGAAGCAACTTGAGATCGGAGGATGCCTGGTAAGGGAGGGATGAAGAACTCAGGGGAGAGCAGTACACACAGACACGCATGCACAGACAATGTACTTCTTAGAGGTACTTCTTAGATGATATGTGACAGGATTGGGAAACTCAGTTGAAGAGGAGTGCGTAGGAAATGGAGGTGACGAGGAAATTCAAGTTTCGGCAATTGAAAGATCTGGAAGCTCGTCGAGGCTGTGTCGATGCATTCGTGCCCCCCTGGGCCCCTTGAAGAAATACGCATCTCTCTGGTGCCTGCCTGGGGCCGTGGTGGCAGGTGAAGGACCCACCTAGGGCCAGGTGCGGAGGATGGGCCTTCGGTCCTGTTTCTCGTGATCTTTGCCTCGGAACAGGAGGAGGAGGCGGAGGAGGAGGAGGCGGAGGAGGAGGCGGAGGAGGCGGAGGAGGCG